TGATAAACAAAGCTTTGGATCTCCTTTCTCAATCATTTTCAAGAGAACATTTTTCTGCTCAAAGATTTCCTCAGGGCAAATTTGACATCCTTATTCCTCAGGCTATAGATTAGTGGGTTCAACATGGGCACCACAGCAGTATAGAATATGGAGGACACTTTCCCCTGGTCAGAGGGTAAAGTAGAAGGTGGTTTGAGGTACATAAAAGCTCCTGACCCAAAGAAAAGGGACACCACTATTATATGGGAACTGCAGGTACTGAAGGCTTTGGATTTGCCCTTGGTAGACCTAATGTGGAGAGTGCTAGAAATAATGAAACCATACGAGGAGAAAATTGTTACAATAGGCACCCCAATGACAATGGTTAAAACAATAAAGACCACCAGCAAATTGATGTAAGAGCTGTTGCAGGAGAGCTCAAGCAGTGGAAGGATGTCACACATGTAATGATTGACACAGTTGTCAGCACAAAAGGTCAGAACTATTATGTTTCCCATATGGGTCACAGCCCCAAACACTCCCATTCCATAGACACCCAACAAAAGGAGTAAACACACCTGAGGAGACATCATGACTGTGTACCACAGTGGCTTACAGATGGCAACATAGCGGTCATATGCCATGGCTGACAAGATACAGCATTCAGAAATGACAAAGAAACAGTAGAAAAACAACTGAGTCATACACCCTGAATAGGAAATGATGTTCTTCTTTGAGACAAAACCCATTAGCATTTTAGGGGTAAGAGTAGTGGAGTAACTGAAATCTATGAAGGATAAGTTGAAGAGGAAAAAGTACATGGGAATATGAAGGTGAGAGTTCAGTCCAATGAGGGTTATCAAGCCCAGGTTCCCCACCACCGTGATCACGTAGAAAGCTAGGAACAGGAAGAAGAGGGGAATCTGCAGTCCTGGCTGGTCTGTTAAGCCCATGAGGATAAAATCTGTCACAGAGGAGGTGTTATCTGCAGACATTCTCGCCTGGGAGGTTCTGTGATGGGAAAAAGAAAAGAATTGCTCAGAGAAAGGGAGGGGGAAAAAACCCCATTCTTGAGAATGATATTTGAACAGAAGTGTTTTTTAACTTAAAGAAGATGACATGGTCTTGTACATGCATCTCTGTCTTTATGGTCCCCAAGTGCCTTGAACCATCCTAGTAACTGTGGGTGAAATTTGCCTCCAGAGCAAGGTTGGTCTAATTGAGGAGAGAGCCCAGGACGCTCAGCTGGGGATGACCCTGCAACCTGACTGTGGCCCTCTTCTGGCACTGCCTTCCCTCTACACCCTCGATCAAGTTTGGAAGGCCT